TGCTTCAGATTAATCAACCGATAACCGGCAGCCTCCGCACTAGAGCCTTTGTCAAACACCGACTTGAAGCGCGACAGGAAGTCATCGTAAGATATTCCGGGGCAAGCCTGCAGGTGGGCCTGGGCCCAGGCCAGGGCTCGATCTCGTAGTAGCTGGGTGACATAAGCAATCTTAACCCCGTCAGTAGCAAACACATGCGGTAATAATTGAAACTGCATGGAACACTGCAACAAAAATCCCGCTAACTTTCCCATCTCCCCAGAAAAAGCCTCAGGTGAAGGTAAAAACTTATCCAGCGACACCGCGGAAGCTACTGAGGTGTGGCTTTGGCTACTGTATTGACGGCAGGAGCGTGTGTTACCTGGGGAGGGGCCGCAGGAAGCGGGTTGTCGGACAGCGGAATCCGTTGGGCGAAAGCCTGAGTAAGTGATGCCATTTCTCCGCTGAGCCTTACTAGCATTTGTCGTCATGACTTCACCCCGGTAGAGCGCAGTGCGCGGGAGGAGAGAGAGACGCAACACAACAGAAACACTTGTAGCCATGCAGAGTAAGCTGAGAAGGCACAGGGTCATGACACAATTGTTAACAGAAAACCATAAGAAGTCCCGTTTGCAGTTTGCCACAAGCCATGTGGGGGACACAGCAAACATATGGAAGAAGGTGCTCTGGTCAGATGAGAGCAAAATGGAACTTTTTGGCCAAAATGCAAAACACTATGTGTGGCAGAAAACTAACACTGCACATCACTCTGAACACACCATCCCAACTGTCAAATATGGTGGTGGCAGCATCATGCTCTGGGGGTGCTTCTCTTCAGCAGGGACAGGGAAGCTGGTCAGAGTTGATGGGAAGATGGATGGAACCAAGTACAGGGCAGTCTTGGAGTCTGCAAAAGACTTGAGACTGGGGCGGAGGTTCACCTTTCAGCAGGACAACGACCCTAAACATAAACCCAGGGCAACAATGCAATGGTTTAAAACAAAACATATCCATGTGTTAGAATGGCCCAGTCAAAGTCCAGATCTAAATCCAATCAAGAATCTTTGGCAAGATCTGAAAACTGCTGTTTACAAACGCTGTCCATCTAATCTGACTGAGCTGGAGCTGTTTTGCAAAGAAGAATCAGTGTTGGGTGTAATGCGTTACTAAGTAACACGTTACTGTAATTAAATTACTTTTCCACTGAAAAAGTAGAGTAACTAATTACTGTTCATTTTTAGGTATTTTAATTACAGTTACTTACAATGTACTTGCATTACATTGTAAAATAATTAAACTCACTGAATATCATTATTTAATTTCAATTTCAATAATTTGTCTTCTAAACATAAATTGCCTGCATTTGTATAGCGCTTTACTCAGTCCCTAAGGACCCCAAAGCGCTTTACACTACATTCAGTCATCAACCCCATTCACACACACATACACACACTGGCAATGGCAAGCTACATTGTAGCCACCGCTGCCCTGGGGCACACTGACACAGGCGAGGCTGCTGGACACTGGCGCCACCGGGCCCTCTGACTACCACATAGAAGTAAATTAAACTCTGCCGCTTTAACATCGCTGTAGTGCAGGTGGACGTCATCTCACACCAGTTTGCTGCATAGTCGTATTCTAAAGCGGAAGATGTCGGACTCGGCTGAAGCGAGTGGCCGTTTTATGAAATGGAAATATTCCCGTCTCTTCACTTTTCTGAAACTAGCAGACAAGAACATTACAGTAATATGTAAGCTATGTCCTGGGGAGAAAAAACTATCGGCTGCTGTTAATATTAATCTACTGAAGCACCTGACACGAGAGCATAGACGAACACTTCTGAGTGATCCTTGTTCATCATCCATGGATAACACCGCGGCAACTCCTGCTAAGCAGCAAAACATGATTTTACTTCAGCAGCACAGAAAGCGTCTGAAGGTGAGCTTAAACAAATGTTGTGACTGTAAGATCAATGATGGAGCTCTGTGATTGGTGGATTTAAAGCATACATGTCACCACTCCACCCTCCAAACATCAATGATTTCTCCTGGTGAACAGATGCAGTAATCACCAACAGTGAATTGGAGCCTCTGCAGATGTCAGTAAGCAAAACGAGACTACTAATCTGTGATAAATATTACTGTTCGATATGGTTGCTGCTGACCGCTGCAGCTTGGTTTTTTTTTAAATATAAGCAATCAACTAAGTCATTCTGCTTAATCTTTTCCATTTTTAGGTAAACTCTCATTAATGTAACATCAAAGTATCAGCTGCTTCACTAAAGCTGTTTGTTTTGGAGAAGTTAGCCAGTTTCTAAGATTTGTCATGGTGTATTCAGGATGCACTGCAGATCAACAAGGAAGTAAAGACTATGACTATTTTATCTGTAAATGAGATTTGTGTGGTTGGGATAAAAAACAATCCCATTTATTAAACTGGTGAAAAAACTGCCTGGAAACTAAAACCAACAGTTTACAGTACCTGCCCTCAGACTCGTGCACTGCTGCTACACTGCAGACTGTGTCATATGACCCTGTAAACTACAGTTAATGAGAACACTGACCCTACAATAATTACACCTGCAGATGGCTAATTCACATTTTTATGTGCATGTAAATACCTTCCATAACTTTCAGTGTTTGTTAATTTTAATATCTTACACTGACAGGTTCCGTAAAAGCTTTGATAGGTTCCTTCACTCTCCTCCTTCCCTGATGTATTTTCTCTTCCTGGAACAAAAAAAGATTCTGCCAGCAGAGACGTTCAAACTGAAGGTGTGTTTGAGTGCAGTGACATGTGTTTTGACCTGTCAGCTGTTATCTTTGGATTTAGATTTGGACAGATTAAAGCTTCAGCTAGTTCAGGCTGAAACTGGTGAAATTAGGCGAACTGCCACAGGCTGTTCTGACACAGTTAAGGCTGACACTGGGATTTTGTGGGCTTAAGTGTGTTACCAGGAAAACTGTGGAAATTGATGAAAGCTGAATTTTATTTTTAACAGGCTGAAAGCAGAATAAATGTAACTGTTCAGCTCTGGTCAGTTTAGTTTAGTTTTAAACTAAAGAGCCTTCATCAGGACATTTAATGACCACTTTCTGACACGTCAACAGTTAGCCACTACCAGTGTTGGGTAAGTTACTTTAAATTAGTAACTTAGTTACATTACTAGTTACTTCTATAAAAAGTAACT